GGAGACCTCGGCGAACGCCAGAGCCTGGGAGCGGGGGGCCCAGCGCTGGAGAGAGAGAAGCCGGGACCCACCGGCAGAGCCGAAAACAAGTGTATTCATATTCAAACAAACCGACCAATTGCACTAGGCAAGGAGAGGGAGCATCCAATCGGCTGGCGCGAGGCCCCGGCGCTGCTTTGCATAAAGCAATATTTTGTGTGGGAGCGAGCGGTGCATTTGCATGTTGCGGAGTGATTAGTGGGTTTGAAAAGCGAACCGTGGCTCGGCCTCATTTCCCGCTCTGGTTCAGGCGCAGGAGGAAGTGTTTTGCTGGAGGATGATGACAGAGGTCAGGCTTCGCTAATGGGCCAGTGAGGAGCGGTGGAGGCGAGGCCGGGCGCCGGCACACACACATTAACACACTTGAGCCATCACCAATCAGCATAGGTGTGCTGGCTGCAGCCACTTCCCTCACCCACACTCTTTATCTCTCACTCTCCAGCCGCTGACAGCCCATTTTATTGTCAATCTCTGTCTTCTTCCCAGGGATCTGAGAATTGCTTTCACACACCAACCCAGCAGCGTCCGTGGAGAAAACTCACACGAGCAACTCTTTTAAAATACCATCATTTCAAACCGTTGTGGTCTTTAAGCAACAACAGGGGGAAAACAACAAAAAACAAAAAACAAAAAAGCAAACAAACAAACAAACAAACAAAAAGCCCAACCAAACAAAAACTCTTGACAGGAGCTTTGACAACGACGAGAGAGAGGATGCCTCTTAAAGGTGAGTCCGCTTCTTTCTTTACATTTCAGTACCCAGGCAGGTTTCTCCTTTTCCCTCTCTTCTTTCCTCCCCTCTCGCCGGTCCCCTCCCCCACTGCTACGCCGGGAGAGTTGGGCCGGAGAAGTTTCCACGCAGGAGCCCAAACTTTCTACTTCCAGCGAAAGCCCGCGTCGGAGGGCGACGGTCCGCGAGCCGCAGCGGCGCGGAGCTCTGGGCGGGTGGCTGGCTCAGCACCAGCGCAAGCGTGACTGGGGCTCTGGGTGAGCAGCTAGGCTGCAGGCGCCCCCGCAAACCGCAGCTCTCCGCCGCAGCGCCTCCAAAAGCTCGCGGTCAGCGGGAGAGGACGAAGAGGCTCCACCGTGCCCCAGGCCGCGGAGAGCAGCCACTGGCGATGCTTTTGTCCAGCCGGGGCCCAACCAGCCGACTCTGCACCGCCTCCCGTCAGCCCGCGCTCCGGCTTTGTGCAAGATCCTCCCGGGCACAGAACTGCCCGCGACACTCCAGCGCCAAAGGGTCATCACGCCCGCCGCCAGGGGAGCCGACTCGATGTGAACCGTAGCGGCGCGCTGGAGGCCACTAGAAACCCGGAGCGAGCGACGGCAGTGAAGGAAGCCACTAGGCCGAGGCGGTCGGATGCGCTCTCTGAGGGAGCTCCGAGCCGACCCCAAGGACTGCCAGCTTCCATCCAGCCCCAGGGCCCTCGCCTCGAGCCTCAATCAAGCGCGGAGCTTGGACTTGCAAGCAAAAAAAAAACCCTAGGCTCTCCCGGCTGCCCACATCTCTATCTTGCGAAAGTTGAGGTGTTCCCTGCCCCGTGGACTCCCACCTCCGACTCTTGGTGGGTATTTTCCCATGTCTTCCATTGACTAAGCTGTTCCTGGTGTTGCCATTTCAACAAGTTTCGAGCTGGAAAGGTGTTTTTCTCCTCCCTTTTAAGCGTACTGATTTTTTTTTCTTTGTGTGGCCTAAAGGGAAAAAAAAATCTATATGAACGCATTGGCTTTCCTTCTCGTCGGCTCACGTCCTCCCCCAGCTAATTAGTCTGAGTAATTCGAGATCTTTTGGATTCTAAGACCCCAGGAGGAAAAGTGGCTTTTCAAAGTTCAGAAAGTTGTTGCCTCTTTCCCGGGGCAGATTTCCTTAGTCTCCCTACGCCATAATAGCCTCGAATTTTAGCAAGTGTAATTGAGGGAAATGGAGTTGAATTTCAAGTGGAAATGCTTTCTTTTTCAAGTGCTAAGAAACCTGGCCTTTCATTAATGATGCTTTCTGGAAAGTTTAAAAACAAAGTGAGTTCTTTCTTTTCTCTCTCTCTCTCTCTCTCTCTCTCTCTCTCTCTCTGTCTCTGTCTCTGTCTCTCTCTCTCTCTCTCTCTCTCTCTCTCTCTCTCTCACACACACACACACACACACACACACACACAACCTAACCCATTTTGGACGGTAACCTCGAACTTGGGAAGGGTTGAAAAGGAGATAGGAGCAGAAAAATGAAATGGAAAGTTAAAACGCTTGAAAGTCTAGCAAGCCTATCCGGAGAGAAAGAATGGCTGTTGTCACTGACAGGGGAGTTGCCGGTGATCTTTGCATATGTTTGAAAGCAATTGATTATTGTTATCATTTGGCCCTGGAGAGTGAACGTTGTCATCTTAATTGCTAATTTCTAGGAGGGGGATCAGGAGGGGAGAAACCAAGTTTCTCCTAACACACTTCAGCTAAGGAATATGGGGATGGGTTTTGAAATTTAAATAATTAAGACAACAGCATAGTGTGAACGCTTTGACTTGTGTTGGGGTCAGGGAATGGGGAGGTCCAATGGACTTGTGGACCAAGACCTTGTGGCCTTGACGATTTCTGGAGACTTCTTCATTGCTGATGCAGATCTATGGCCCCTCCAAGGCGATACAAAGCCCTATCGTGGGCTGGGGGCCTGGGCTAAGGCAAAGGGGTCTAGCTTCTCTAAGAACAGGACTGCTTCCGGGTGTGGGGTGTGCCCTGCTTCCCAGGGTGCTTTTGCACTGAGTGTTAACGATTACTTAGGTAATTAGATAGCTTCTTAGAGGAGAGGAGGGTGGGAACCAAGCAAAACCGGAACCTGAAATGCTATCGCCTTCCCTGTTGCTTGGAAAAGTAATCAACTGGCTCTTTCAGTGACCAGCTAGACAATTTTCTAAAATGGCATCGTGGAGGTCCCAGCCGGGATGTGGACATGAGGCTGTGTAAAATGTGGTTAGGGAAGCACTCAGGAAGTTTTGCTGTTCCAACCAGAATTCTGCCCCATCTCTATCCACCTGCTACCCTTTGCAGCTTGAGTCCTATATGTAGGTAGGATGGACATTTTGTTCTGAGTGGGATTTCCATTCATGGCATGATCTTGGATTCAGAAACTGACCTAGAGACTGGGAAGCTTTAGGAGACCCAACCCCACTGGGGATGGCTAGCCCTCTGCTATGTCCTGTCATAATCAGACACTGAGAAAAAGTCCCCAGCCTGAACTTATTTTTATGGATTTAAGCTGCCTCTCAGTTATTTAAAAGTTAGGTCATAAAAGGTCTTGCAGAGAAAAATGTATTTCTTGGAATTATTTGTAGGGTGGCAAAATTAATCATTATCACAGTCCAAAACAGGAAAAAGAAAGTTTCTTAAAGTAAAACAAAAATGATGCTGTGACTATTTCATTATTTTACCCCCCCCCCTTTTTTCCTGGGCAAACCTCTTGAATGGGCTCTTTATTGTAACTCTCCCTTCCCAATTGAGCTCCCCACGGTGCCCTTGTATCTTTTTACAGCCCCTAACAACTCACACCAGCAACACAATTACCTCCAGATATTTATAACAAGAAATTACTTTACTATTTTTTCCACCTCTCTTCCAAGAACCCTCTTTTTTGAGGAAAGGTAGTGAGGGTAGGTGGACAGGAAGCATTGGAGGGTGTCATGGTGAGTCAGGACTTCAGTGAGAAGGTTCTCTCTTTCCCTTTGTGAGTTGGAGAATTGTTGGTTCCTTTGCTTGGACCTGGTGTTGCTGGTTTGAGAGTCTCGGCTTTGCTCTTTGGGTTTGGGGAAAGCCGAGGAATAGAAGTCATTGTTTGGTGTCTGTAGACTTTGTAGACCGCATTCACCCCCTCCTGTTTGTAGTTTTTAAAGCAGCGAGGCGAGGTAGACAGCATGTGTCACAGTACAGGAAAAGAGAGGAAGAGCTGAACACTAAAAGCAAAGTTAATTACAATAAATGAGGTTTAGGGTAAAAAGTTGCTAAGCTGTGGAAGAGCTGAGAGTCTGGTTGTGGGGCTCTGACTAGAAGACTTTGGGGGTGGGATGGGGGGAGTGAAGGATAAAAGAGTAACTAACCAAAGAACTTAGTTCTAGGGATCTTGGGACAATTGAGGTGCTGAATTCCTTAGGAAGGGTGGGAGTCTGGTCTGAGGCTCACTCCCCCAGACTTCTTTAACTCAAGCCAGCCCTCAGGCACCACCAAGACCTTAAGATTCTCTTCACCTCCACATTTCAGGGGTTCATTGCCTTCCTTTCCCAGCTCGGTTTCTACTCCACTCTTGGCTTTTTGGATTTAAGCCCTCCTCTTTCCCTGGTGCTTGTTAGTTTTGCAAAGTGAGACCACAACTCTAGACTCCCCAATTTCCCCAAGCCTAGCCAAAGCGCGGGTTTCCCATGGACGTTGGCCGCTGTAGCAGAGGCCACTGCAAGTGTGATGCCTAGTCTTCCCAGGCAGAAGGAACCTGAATTCACTTTGGGTTGATGGTGGGCCTCAGATATCCAGTCAACCTATGTGTTGGGGCCAAGTTGACATACTTTTCTTTCCCTCTGTTTTGTCTCAGGCAGAAGACTTTAACTAGGGGTGAACAGATGTGTGAGATCTTCTATTCTAAGAGTGGACATACATCTCAATTTTCAGGCAAGTTCTATGATACTGTTTGTGGCTTCAAACCCTGGTAGAGTTTCTTCAAACCATAGGTCAGGTGGAATTTCCCTCCCCCCCCCAAAAAAAAACCTGGGGTCGTTTTTTGTTCTGATTAAAAGGCTAAGAACTAAAATATTTTGGGGAAACTGATTGTGAATATTAGATTATTTTGTCCGCAGCTCTCAAAGTACATTTTGCATGCATAGGAAGGCAGGGCTAGGTGACCCTCAAATCGCCCCAAGCGGTGGAGTAGCTCAGTTTCTAAGAAGAGGAGGATTCTCTTGTTCAGGCACTAGGTCCTCCTCAGTAGGAGTGCAGGCCTACCTGTGCAAAGCCCGGGATTAACTCCAATTTTCTTACTAACAGAGCCCCACATTCGAGCCCCGTGGGATCCGGAGGCCGCCAACCAGCGCCAGCATGCAGAACAGTGAGTGTCTCGGGTCTTTCACTGGACTTTTGGGCTGGAGGCAAGCCGACCGGTGGGTTAGGGGAGCACACCGAGTCTTGGACCCTGGGGAGTCCAGGCCACTGGGCGAGAGGGAGGAGGCCCGGGGAATTTATCCGGGCTGCAAGAGGTGAGTGCCAAGTAGCCGGCGAGGGAGGGCGGGGAAGCATTTGCTCTGCTGTGTTCCAGAAGGGAAAAGGCTGGGGCTCTTCAAAACTACTCGCCCGAGTTTTTGATGCTGCGGTGGAGAAACCCCATCCCCCCCAAATCCTGTAACTCATACCCCCTCCCCGCCCCTGCCCGGGCTCTGACCCCAGAGAGAGGGGCTGGGCTGAGCAGGGCGGGGCGAAGGCTTCTTCTGAGAGTAGGAGGAGGCCCCTTTGGGCTTGGCCAAGACTGAACATCTCCGACCCCGAGGCCTGGGGGTGTGGGGGGGCTTCCCTTCCCTAGTCAACCTCAGGCCAGCTCCTCCCCTCCCCACCCTAACTGTAGGCCTAAAAAGGAAGGGGAGTGGAACATCCAGGAGGAGTATCGTAGTGGGGGGAACCCCACACATCGTGTTGAAAGCAGGGTTTACTGGGTCTGGGAAGAGAGTGGAGGCTGTGCGGGTCAGGAATTGGGAAAACTTTGCACTAGCAAGAGCAGCTACGTGGGTCCTGGCTGATCCAAGCTCCTGATACATTTGATTCCGGGGGGCCTTTGTGTCTCTCTTCTAACCTTTGACCAGGCCCTTTGGGCCCCTAACCTTTCTGTTTTAGCCAATGGCTGTTGGTATATGGCAGAGTTAAGCCTAAAAAGTCAAGCCTGGCAGCCAATGAAAGTAGGCCCAGTTAGGAGTCTGTACAGGCTTAAGGATACAACTATGCTTGGGCATGTAGAGAGGCCTAGGTCTTCTGGAAACCTGCAGTTATGGAACTGCCCTGGCTTAAGAGAGTTCCCAACAGCTTGGGTCCACGTTCTGGAATAGCTTGTTGTCCCGTTGATGCCACAGAATGGGGTGGGGTACTAGACACAGGAAAAGGAGCTAAGATGGGGGCTTTGCAGCTATGTTTGTACAGAATCTGTCAGCTCCACGGGCTTGGCCCAGGAGGCACTATCCTTGGCGAAGCGAATACCATGGAGCTCTGACTCTCCAGCCTTAGTTTTTCAGGTGGGCCAAGGAGCTCCACCACAAGCATTTGCCCCTTCACTATGACCTGGTTGGCAGGCCCAGAGGGGCACGGGTCGCAGGTTGGCCTGTAGGCTTTGTGCTGCTGGTTCCCGAGTGTGCGCAAGGCGCAGAGCATCCAAATTGACACCATATGTTTTCCTATTAGAAGCTTTGCGGTCGAATTCTAGGCGCATAATCATCGCCACTGGGCGAGAACGCCAGCAGTCCCTAGGGACGGGACACAATGATTGAGGCTTAACCTCTAAAGGGGAATTTAGAGCTATGTTTCCTCGCTGCCATTTCGATGCTGGCAGAGGCGCCCTGGCCCAAAGTCTCTCTCAGACCAGCATATGCGGGCTGCAGCTGTGGAGGTACTGGCCACGTTATTTTTGCAATACAGGAGTAGAGAAAACTCTACAATTAGAGAGGCCTTGTACGCTCTGGCATCTGCAGACTGGGAATTGTCCTGGCTTCTGCTTGGAAAGTTTCTCTTGATTTCTCTGAGATGGCCTTTCTGTTTTGAGAAGGTTTGCCCAGAGACCGGCCTCCATGAAATGCATGATAAATGAGGCTTAGAAAGCCAAGGTGGGCGATGAAGAAAGTTAAAGAGAAACCAGAAGCGCAGGTTAGGCCTTGCTATGTTGGAGGACCAACCTGTCTCCTGCAACTTGCAATGTATCTTCTTGCATTGGTCCTGGCCGGCCGGAGCCCAGATCCCTAAACGCCTGTCACTTCTCATCCAATTGAGGCCCCGCCCCCCCCTCGGTGAGCTGTAACCCCCCTCTAGCCCCAAGCCTCGGGCTACCCAGAAAATGCAGCTCCCCTTGAAGGGGAGACGAGTGCAGTTCATTCTCGTCTGAGTGATCTACAAATAGGGACGGAAAGGGTCGTTTTATCACGGTCCCGTTTGTCGTGACGATGCAATTTCCCGGAGCGGAGCACTGTCACAAAGTGACAAGGCTGCCACAAGCGCCCCGACTGATCTTTTCAATTAGCCTTCCATGCATGATCCGGAGCGACTTCCGCCTATTTCCAGAAATTAAGCTCAAACTTGACGTGCAGCTAGTTTTATTTTAAAGACAAATGTCAGAGAGGCTCATCATATTTTCCCCCCTCTTCTATATTTGGAGCTTATTTATTGCTAAGAAGCACAGGCTCTTGGAGTCAATTTATCAGGAGGCTCCAAGGAGAAGAGAGGAGAAGAGAGGAGAGAAGAGAGGAGCTGGGAACCACATCTTCTCCTGAGAGGGCTTCTGTCTAGAAACGGGGCTGCAGGTTGGAGATGTTTGAGGAAGTGGCAAGAGGGGACTGGTTTTAATTGTATGCCTGTTGTTTCCGAGGAGGATAATTCAGGGAGGCGCTCCTTCCTTGCCCTAGTCTCTAAGACCAGACAATGGCTGAGGTAGTGAGATAAGAGTTGAAGGAGGAACGGGTGACACTGTGATGTGGTCCTTTTCTCTTTTGTTTTGGGTGTCTGCTAATATTGTGTCTTTGGCTGAGGGGGAGGGCGGAGTTCAGCAGTGGAAGGGAGTGCGAAGACTCCAGGCTTTGCTGTCCAACTGGGGCAGGCAGACCACTGTGCGGGTGGGAGCTTCCAAGCCTGTGTCCGGTGTGGAGCAAGGGATTGGTGTTCGCTAGCTACAATTTTGTCTTTCCGGGTTTTTTTCTAGTCTTACACACACACACACACACACACACACACACACACACACACACACACACACGCTATAGGCGCTATATGCTGTGCACCTCTAACAGTTAAATCATGATGCAGAGGTTTATGATGTTCTGCCCAGCCTTTCCAAGGCTTGGGATTTGCAGTGCTGTTATAACAGGGCCGAGACTGCAATGTGGACTGTGTGGTGACATTCAAAGGTGATGCTTAGGAAGGAGATTTTCAGAGCTGTGGTTTGTCTCTTTGGGTTCCAAACAGGTCTGGGGTGCTCATGAAGGGGGCAACGGGCTCAGGGAACTGTTTTGTTTAGGTGATGGTATTACTGGGTGAATATATTGTAGTTTCCCCAGTCTCACAACAGTTCAGTGGGCAAGGTCACTCATTCTATTTGAGGCTGGGCTGCCCAATGCCCTGCATGGCTGGTGGTCCCCTTGTTGTTTTTTTGTTTTTGTTTTTGTTTTTTTTTTAATAAAAAAAAAAAAAACGGGACCTGATTGCTAAGGTTCACACAGGTTGGCAGGGAGCTGAGGTTGCATTGTGCTTCTCCTTCTCTTCTTCTTCTTCTTCCTCCTCCTCCTCCTCCTCCTCCTCCTCTTCCTCCTTCTTCTCCTCCTCCTTTTCCTTCTACTTCTCTTCTTGCTCTCCTCTCCTGCTCCTTTCCTCAGGTCACAGCGGAGTGAATCAGCTTGGTGGTGTCTTTGTCAACGGGCGGCCACTGCCGGACTCCACCAGGCAGAAGATCGTAGAGCTAGCTCACAGCGGGGCCCGGCCGTGCGACATATCCCGAATTCTGCAGGTGATCCTCCCGTGGGTGCCCCACTCGCCGCCCCCTACCCCCGCCCCCACAGCCCTCCACTTCAAGCATCCTCCCATCGTTTCTTACTGTAAATGCTACTAATTATGGACCCCTACCCTCACCCACTTCATCCCTACCAACTCCCCTACCTCCAGCTTTCCCCTCTCCTTCCACCATGGTCCCTGTCTCTTTCAACCTCAGTCAGATACATAAGAAAATTCATCTGCGTAAGAAAAAAGTGTGTGAATTTAAAAGATACATCTTTTCATTTGGTAAAGACATTCATTATGATAACAGTGTATAAACTGTAATGAACTGAGTTATATAAATTGGAATAATTTCATTCCCCTCTTCCTGTCCCTTGCTAACCTCAGGTTTTGAGAGATTTGTTTGCATTTTTCATGCATATGAAGAATGTATATGGATTTTAGAAGGCAAATGCTGTTTACTCTAATTTACATTTGCTCATTTGGGCAACATTTTAAGGGAAAAATGTAAAAAAATGCAATTATTTTTCCCTTTGTTCTTCACAACATAATACTACTTTAAGCAAGCTCTACACACACACACACACACACACACACACACACACACACACACACACAAAACCTGACTTCATTTTGATGCATCTTCATACAGTGTTTAGGAAAACAGTTTTAAAAAGCTTTTTAAAATAATTCAAAGTGTTTGAAAGTATCATTATATTTGTAGTTTTAGGGCTACAAATGTAATTTTAAGAAAAAAAAAAAGCTCTCTCCAGTAAGTTCTCATACCATTGAAGGTATATTTTTGTGTTATAGACCCATGCAGATGCAAAAGTCCAAGTGCTGGACAATGAAAACGTAAGCTTGTCATTGTTTAATGCATACTTAAACAATTTTATTTTTGTCTTGAAATTATTAATAATGTGGTTTTCTGTCCACTTCCCCTGTGCAGGTGTCCAACGGATGTGTGAGTAAAATTCTGGGCAGGTATTACGAGACTGGCTCCATCAGACCCAGGGCAATCGGAGGTAGTAAGCCAAGAGTAGCGACTCCAGAAGTTGTAAGCAAAATAGCCCAGTATAAACGGGAGTGCCCGTCCATCTTTGCTTGGGAAATCCGAGACAGATTATTATCCGAGGGGGTCTGTACCAACGATAACATACCCAGTGTAAGTTCATTGTGAACATCTGCTTTCCTTGCCCCCAAGCTCCTCACTCTCAACCTATCTGCAACCTCTTTCTCTCCTCCCACCCATTTCCCTCCCAACATCTTGCTGTCTGTCTCTTTCCTGATTTGCATGGGTCTCCGTGTTACCTGGGGGGGTAGCAAGAGGTGTGCTTTGACTTTCCTACCATGGGGAAAATGGGAGTCAAGTGTAGGGAGATGTTCACTTCATTTGTATACCGAACACCAGGGTTTAAAGGAACTGGGGTAAGGCATTTGAATCAGGAGGAAAATGAAAATGAAAACAGGGTTCTAATCCTCTCCCCTCCTCACCCCCAACCCCCAAGCACCTGCCTGGACCTTCTTTAGGCAACATGCATGCATGCATCCATTTCTGTTGTATAAAAAACAAAACAACAACAAAAGAAACCTTTATATTAAGTTGAAATATTTTATCGGGGAGCCTTTGAAAGCCAAGCAACTGAGTGATCTAGGTCATTAGTGTTATCTACGGAAGTGAAGGACTGCTCCTGCCTCTTTACCCAACTCCCATTTCCAGGAACAAAGTGATAGCTGTTATTCTTTCCACAAATACTTAAAAATCCACTGAGTATCCCAGGGTGGCTGGAAGCTTTTTCATATGTGGTGGGTCATTCTTTAAAACTTGGGATGGTTGAGATGGGGCTCTAAGAATGGGTGACTGTGTCTTTCTGAGACACTACCATTTGGTTTGATTTGCAGGTGTCATCAATAAACAGAGTTCTTCGCAACCTGGCTAGCGAAAAGCAACAGATGGGCGCAGACGGCATGTATGATAAACTAAGGATGTTGAACGGGCAGACCGGAAGCTGGGGCACCCGCCCTGGTTGGTATCCCGGGACTTCAGTACCAGGGCAACCTACACAAGGTAAAACTCAAGCAGCCATACTCCTGTAACTCCTCCTTTGACCTCCCGGTGCCTAGGAGATATAAGTGCATTACCCTGGAAGGCTTGGGTACCCAACTCACACTTTGTGTAACTGCTGTCTGTAAAACCATCTTGTTGACTATAAGGGCTATGTATGTCAACAGTGGTATGAAGTGACTAGGAGGTTTTGCCCTATTCAAATTTTACATTAAAATGCTATAGAGTCCACTTGCAGTACACGCGTGACAACTTAACACACGGACAGACTGCAAGGTAAACATAACTGTATCATTTGCTTTTGAAGTAATTGACTAATTATATGACTTTGAGTAAGGTGGTAGGAGAGTGTGAACCCCCGACAATGCATGGCTAATTTGAAGATCGCCACTGGAAGTGGAGGTCCCCCCCCCATTGGTTTCAGTTCTTACTCTCTGAGGTGGCAACTGGTTAAAAGTGGGGTGGGGAAACTGAGTACTGGGCTGAGGGTTCAGGAGAGGATCTGGGTCTGGGAGGACAGATGGGAACTATATAGTCCTGTCCCAGATTCTGTGAGAAGTATGTAGGAAGAGGAATGGGCGAGTTGGCTCTTTCTCTGTCCCACTCACACCGAAGCAACTTGGTCAAAAAGAGGAAACAGTTTACTCCGAAGATTAATAGGTATTTGTTGTCCTTGTGACAAGGAGATAATATGCTGGATAATGGGACGTGGCGTCTCACTCCCGGGAGTACCACAGAGCCTAGGGGCTTAGGGCTGGGGGGCAACACAGGGACTGCGTAGGGGCTGTTGCGAATTGGTGAGCTCTTGGACTAGCCCCGTGTGCAGGGCGTCTCCACAGAGCTGGGTTAGAGAAGGGAAAATCGGTAACAGTATGCGAAATATCTGGTACAAAGGATGCTTCTGTCACTCGCAAGAATTTGTTATGGGAACAATCCTGTCGCTCTGTAATTGCTCATTAGAGAACGTTTTGTTTCTCATTAAGGCGACATGAATAAGCGTCTAGTTGAAGGAGACAGCTGTAGAAATGTTCCACAAGAGACCTCTGGACACGATTCGGCACCAATTGCCAATTAGACATGTCAGTTTTAAGAGCAGAAAACAATATAGGACGGACACTGGGACGATAGGGAGAAAAGCGCTCCTTTCTGCTTTCCCAAGCGCCGCCGCTCCTGGCCAGTGCCGGCCTTCCTGTAGCGCAGGCCCTGACTCCCCTGGGTGACCCTGCTCACGTGACCTCGAACCTGCAACCTTGAGAGTTGGAGCTCAAAGTGCTCACAGGTCCAGGCCTCTCCTGTAAGACCAGCAAGGGAAAGATGTAGCCAACTCCGCACTGCCTGACTTTTGAAGCCGTAGGATTCCGGTATGCATACCCACAGAACACACCCCAGTGACTCTGGAACTCCAGCTGGTGGTGACCTTCCAACTCTCCACCCCCAGCCCTCCTGAGTCCTGCCGACCCCTTCCCTGCCCACTAGATCCTAGGTGTCTCAGTTGTGGGCAATAGACCTTGAAGCTCAGACCTAGAAATGTTGAGCCCAGAAACCTCCATCCCTGGGTTTTCCTGGTGTTTACTTTGGGGGTCTGGGAATGAATATCCCCTTCTTGTTTCTGGATGCCCAGACTAAAGTCCAGGGCAGTAGCTTCCACTAGAGGTACTGCCACGGTCTTAGGGTAGATTTTCTTCCTTGGGAACAACAAAGCTACAAACCCCGAGGGCCTGGTGGTGACCACTGGAGGCGAGAGGTGGCGCTAGTTCAGGGACTTTTAATTTAAAGTAGCTAGAGAATGCTGGGTCATACACTTCCTGAGCGTCCCACCCACCCACCCTGTTTACCCCCAACATAAGTGCTTTCTCCCCCACCAACCCTCGTAGGGCTCTCAGCCCCGCCTCCAGCGTGGCTTGAAAGGGGTTTAGAATCTCGGGTGTTCAGACCTCGGGCTCTAGTAGTGAGTGTCAGTTCTCCTGGCTTAAGTTCCTGGGGATTCCTCTGGCGTTTTGGTGCTAGGTGGGTTTCCCTCACTCCCTGGCCCTTTTTCCCCTGAGAGGCTGATCTTGGGTTGTAAAGAGTCCATTTCCAAAAGCATAAGGCGAGGTTAGGTCTCCGAGGGAGACAAATATGGTTTCCATCTGATCTACGCCACGCGGCGTTGAATAAAATCCTGACGACGTGGGCTGACAAAAACCGAGACGACTCTATCCAGCCCCAATTCTCCAGCGATTTGGTGGTTTTAGGGATCACGAAGACACTTTTTCTCATCTCCTCCCCTCTCCCCAACCCCCATAATACCCAGGCCCTCTATAGGATTTAGTCAGCCTCCTTTCAACAGATGCTTCAATGTTTTGATCCGCGCTCCAGAGCTGAAAAGGTTCCGCAACCGCGTTGCTATCTTTTCTTGCTTGTTTTCCGCCTCACTGATTAAGACCCTAAGAAACTAAGGAATGATTTTATTTCCCAGCGCCTTTTTTTTTTCTTTCTGCTTTCTTTTCTGTGTTTTCTCCCCTCTCCCTTTCTCTCCCTTCTCCTTCTTCCAGGAAACAAATCCTATCCCCTGCGTCAGATGGTCTTGGGGCTGGGATAATGGGAGGCGCTTTCACTCTCTGCTGGGATTAGGCAGGGAGGTGTATGGCTCCCATTGAAGGTCCCTTCTTTGCGCCGCTAGGAGGGGACGCCTTTTAAAGGAGATATCTTAATTGTCTGTCACTTAGGTTTATCTCGTGGGGAATTAGAACGCTCTAACTTCTATTTTTAGTTTCTTTAAAGATTTAAGGCTGGAAGGTAAAGCCATTAAAGAAAAAAAGAAAAACATTAAAAAAAAAAAAAAAACAACAAAAACCCGAGCTCTATCTAAGTGACCACTTAGTCACCTGGCCGCAAACAGTTGCTATTTTAGAGTAGTGAACATATTTTCAATGTTGCTGTCTGGCTTGGTTAAGATGTTGTGGCGAGGGTGGTGAATTCTGCAGTGGGTGGTGAATTCTACAGCGTTTTCTCCTTGTTGACTCTGATCTCACTTAAAAAAAGATAAAAGAAAAAAATTAAAATGCAGTTTTCCTGTTACTATATACTTGATTTTCTCCTTAAATGCCACTTCCCAAGCCAGTACAAGCCCTAGGTTTATATCTCCACTGCATGCTTGTGAATGAGTAGTTCCTGAGCTTGGAGGGCTAGGGATATAATCAATCCCTAAGCTTTAAAATTAGGAGGACATCGATGAAGCAGATGAGAGCACAGAAAGCTATCTGCAGGCGTCTTCTGAGAGAGACCACAGCTTTGTTTAATTGGCAACATGCTAGAGAAGGAACAGGGGTGAGTTCTAGGCTTTCCTTTTGGGTGGGGGCATGAGTGACCAGGACGGATTGTGTTTGTGTTTTCCAAAAAGCAGTAACCGATGGACTTTGCTAGTGGACCCAAAGGACAAGGAAAAAAAAAAAAAAAAAAAAAAAAAAAGAAAGAAAGAAAGAAAAAAAAAAAAAAGCATCCTCTTTCACTGATTCCGACAATAAAAGGGACAGGCCCTGTTCATCCCCCCCCCCCCGAAAAAACACTTTGAAAAGTCCTTCAGAGATCTGGGGCAGCAAATTAGTACAGCCACTTGTGCCTCTACACGTGAGTTCCGAGGCCGTCTCCTCTGGCAGGCGACCCTCCCCTCCCCCACTCATCTGCTGTAGGGCAGGACGCCTGCGGCTTGTTTACCAATACAGGCTCCCCCTCCTTTTCCTTTTCGTTTTCTCCCATCTCATTCGACTCTCCAGTTTCTTTTTCTTCTCCTCATTTTCCCCGCTGTCCCTTCTTATACCTTTTTGACCATCATCTCTTTGGAGCAACCCCCCCGCCCTTCCCCCACGCCATTCTTCCCCTTCCCTCCCTGCTCTCTCTCTTTAGCCCCTTTCCTTCCGCCTTCCCTCAGCCCCAGCTCTGGTCCCCACCCACCCTCCTCACCTCCCTCCACCCCCCGAGTCCTGGCCCCCCATCCACCGCCACCACCCCCTCCGCCCAGCCAAGCGCCCTAAATAGCACCGAGGCGCCCGCTCTCCGGACAGTGATTAATGATAGCAGAGCAGAGGGGTTAACACACTTCGCTGAAAAGTCTGTTGACTGGGCTTCTTGTAACACAATGTGGCCCGCTGCACGCCTCAAGAGAATCCTTTTGTTGTCCGTGCTCATTGTGGCCTCAAAATTCTGCCCACGAAAGTTTGCCAACGCTCCTGCCCCAGGAGTTTAATAGTTTCCCTTACTCGCGGGGCATTGTGTGGTGCTGAAAAGCAGCCCCTCGCTATTCAAGTGTTGGTGGTCATCTCAATAGATCTCCAAGGGCCCATATGGTGGCCAGTGCCGATGAATCCGCCTGTTTAAATGGGGGAGAAAGTTGGGGTTTTAAAACATTTCAAAGTTCCTGAAAAGATCCCACTAGATCCTGTCACAATTCCCTGAACTCTTTGAAGGCGCTGCCTATTGTCTCCTGGTTATAAATGATATTCCTGGCCAAGTCGATTCCCACAGAGGCCTGGCGGCCCCTCCCCCCAAAGCTTCTAGGATCGGGAGGGGGGCAGTCCCTGTTGGTATCCCGTGGGGGCCACAGGCCTCAGGACCCAAGACTCAGCCTTCAGTGCCCTGAGAAGCCCAGCCAGGGCCAGAATCCTTCCCTTCCCACAGGCTGCCTCCTTGCAGGCAAAGGTGCATGGCAGAACCAGCTAGCCCAAGTGCATATCTCTCCACCAAGAGCAAAGGAAAACAATGAAACTTTCCCTGTTTAATGATAGAAATTACATTAAAAGTGGTGGAAATGCCCTAATTAAAAATGTACCACTTAAACGATATGCCAAGGACTCAGCTGCAGCATCGCATATTTAGCTAGTTAGTGAACTCTCCACGATTTCTTTTTTAAAATTACACGTTAAAAATTTAAAAGAAATCTTACTTTTCTCTGGTGCAACACATTACAAAGAATGGACAGTCCTTTTATCTAAATATAAAATTCCATTTTCAGCAATTATAGCCTGTTCTTGGTGATGATATAATTACAGCTGTGCTCGTAATAGGTGTCAAGGCGAAACACACTCACACAATGGTTGAATAAAACTGCAGAACAATGCAAGCACTTCTAAATTCACAACCTTTAAAATGAAATTGACTGTGCAGAATTCAAATAAAAACTAGATAAATATTTTTTTTAAAGATTACAAGCTTGGTTTGGTTTCTTAATAGCATTTTCTACAAACCTATCAACATCTAATTGATTAGATAGGAATTACTGATTATAGATCAGCTGAAGTCTCACACATCACTCTATTTCCCCAACACAGCCATAGGTAAATACTTTCTGGGGAGCTAGGGAACTAACTGGGTGAAGCATGCCAGGAGTCAGTTGTGAAAGACCATTTTGCCTGGAAACTTTTTGGATTGCTTTGTCATTCACAGAAATGCTACTTTGTGAGAGTAGAATCAGGCCTCATCATGATAAAAACATAAAGGATAACAACTCAGGTAACAGTGTCATTAAAGGAAGGCCAACACTTGATTACCTTAGCAAGGCTTTGTGGGGACTCAGATTGCCCAGCCCTTGGTGTCTATAACTGTACCAAGTCCCATTAGGCCCTCTATGTCATCCCAATTTCTCTTATTGCCCTATTCTTTTTGTTGCAGATGGCTGCCAGCAACAGGAAGGAGGTGGGGAGAACACCAACTCCATCAGTTCGAATGGAGAAGACTCGGATGAGGCTCAAATGCGACTTCAGCTGAAGCGGAAGCTACAAAGAAATAGAACATCTTTTACCCAAGAGCAGATTGAGGCTCTGGAGAAAGGTGATGGGAAGTTTTCAAAGTAGTGTTGCCTTACATTGACGTAAATGCCACACACCAATGTCACAAAGGGCTAAATTTAGCTAGGGTCCTTTGCACAGAAGACTGAGATCCCCCATCACGCTTTTGTCTCCCCTCCCCTCTGGTCATCTTTTCCCAATGTGCATGTGTGTTTTCTTTCTTCTTTTCACATACCAGTAAGTTCAAAGATTAGAATTCTGACATACAAAGAAAATGATGTTCTGGATGTCTTGGGCCACAAATGATGACACTTACTGAATATCATTCCAAAGAAAACTTAGTTCTGGTGAGAAAGTTCTTGAAAGTATAGTCAATGCACTGTAGAGTTATTTAAAAGAAAACTGGTTGGAGGAGATGGGAGAGGGTGTCAAAAGCCAGCTTGCTCCAGGGTTTAGATATGCTGTGTAGTTCTAGAATAATATATAAACTTAACTTTCTCTTCCAGAGTTTGAGAGGACCCATTATCCAGATGTGTTTGCCCGGGAAAGACTAGCAGCCAAAATAGATCTACCAGAAGCAAGAATACAGGTACCTTGGGACTGTGTTAGTTTTATGTTCTGTGATCCTTATATTTTGCCTTGTCTGTATACCAGTTGTTTATATAATTTGTAACAGGGTCAGTTTGCAAGGACTGTCTTGTCCTAGGGCAGAGGATGGTGGGAATGGAGGGGTTTTTGTTTGTGGCAAAGCTGGCGAGGAGCACAGGGCTAACGTATTCCACGCATTTCCAGGTATGGTTTTCTAATCGAAGGGCCAAATGGAGAAGAGAAGAAAAATTGAGGAACCAGAGGAGACAGGCGAGCAACACCCCTAGTCATATTCCCATCAGCAGCAGTTTTAGCACCAGTGTCTATCAGCCAATCCCGCAGCCCACCACACCTGGTAACTTGAAATGCCGACTGCCAAGAAAAGTTCTTAAGTCTGTTTGCCCTGGGCTCTCCCTCGTCCCATCATAACCTCCCATCTCTCTTTCTCTTTCTCTGCAGTTTCTTCCTTCACATCAGGCTCCATGTTAGGCCGAACAGACACCGCCCTCACCAACACGTACAGTGCTCTGCCACCTATGCCCAGCTTCACCATGGCAAACAACCTGCCTATGCAAGTAAGAGAGGCTGGCCACCTGCTGTACAGGGCAAGGGATGGGTTAGGGCTTTCACACCCCATTCACTGCATTTACCCCCTTGGGAGTCCTTCTTGTGACAGTGATTGCCTTGGCCAGTCAACTGGTCTGAGACAGTCAATCCAATCTCTTTGAGTTGATTGACTGACTGATTGATTCATGCCCTTGAAAAACAAACACTCGATCTGTTCAGTCAAGTTAACATGCCTTTTATCATCATGTTAGCTGGGTAATTCTGGGTGGTAGTGAGGTCTGTTTTGGGTACCAATGGAGCTCGTGCCACAAAGCAGAAATAATGATGGCATAGCATAAGGCCAAGATGTTAGTATGTATAAGCTTGGTGTTTATGTTAGTGTGTTTGTATCAATGAATACAGAAACAACCAAAACATTTTGAGGATTATTTTTGGTCCATGTGAGAAACTAGTGAGGAAGGGGGAAAAAAAAAAAGAGGTGGGACTGAGAAATGAGATTCCAATGAGATTCTTCTACACAGTGAAATATATTTGCCAAAATAGGGAAACTAGTTCTTTCTACATATAAAAGTGTAATAGAAAATGTTTGCTTGAAATTTAATGTGTATCAGCTGTAGATGATGTGACAGGTTGTAGTACCTATGGCATTTTCAGCACAGTACCCTGGTCTGTGCTCTTAGGGGTAGGTCCTGTGCTCAGCTGGCATTTTCTAATGCTGGTTGTAGAGCATTGGGACAAACTAGACCTTTGTTGCTGGGTGGATTCTTGCTGTGGGGATTCTGAAGGGTCTTCTACATCAGTGTTCTTAAGTCTCCTGCCTGTGCAACCATTAGATAGATATGCTTGATTGTATGAGATTGGTGGCAGGAGCCCCTGCTGGAAACAGTTCTGGGGCTGCACAGATTGTTTTTTCTTTATTGAACATCTTTTGCCAGATTTCAAAGTCAAACAGCAGCAAAATGAAAGCCTCCCAGTCTTCAGACCAATACTGGAACAGCTAGCTAGGCAACTTCTTCACATGCTTCTTTTGTGTTGCATCTTGTTTTTATTGGCCGTAGTACAATTGATATATACAGAGGGATCAGCAGTCCATTAGTTAACAGTGCTATAAAACTATCTTGGAATTTTTCACAAGTCAGTTTGACTAGAGGAAGTGATTGTAGGAATTAGAAACAAATGCAAACTGAAATCCCGGCAGGCCCTTTAGGCCTGCTTGCCTTTTTAAACTTAACATACATGAGCATACGAGCAGTCACCATTTGACTTTAATAAGGCCACTGAGTATGTTGGGCAGTGTTATAGCAACATCTAGTTTTCTGTGAGGGTGACATAATGTACACATGGAAAAATAAAACGAAACAAACAAGACAGATTCTGGTTATATTAAACTTGCTTCTACATATAAAGAAGTACATTGATTTATTTCAAACATTGATTTTTAAAAATTATATAGATTATACAGTTACAACAGTAAATGGCTTTATTGAACAGAGAAAATAAAAATGATCTGTGGTTTTACAGTTCAGAGAAAATTCCTCTTTAAGTTTTGGAATGGGGAGGAGTGGTCTCTATGTCAATGACTTCATTTTGGTGGCCAGAATCCACTACATCTTGCAAAGATTGGGCATCTTCCTCTGCACCTTCCTCAGCAGGTGTCAGTCTTTGTGAATGAGGATGGGGACATCAAGCATTTGCAGAGCAGGAGCAGCTATTGCTGACACCATGCTTCTGTTGATTCACCTCATAAGCTTTCTGACCTCAAATAACCCTTTCAGGCCGGGCCCCCATTTGGGAGGGGATACATTATCCTGGCTCTGCATATTTCTTGTTTAATTATGAAAGAAGTTTATCTCCTCAACATTTCCACTTTGAATGTTTAGAAGCTAGCAACACAATTTTATGGATGAGACCCAATCAGGACTTTTGGGTTAGTTAAGAAGTCAGTTAATTCTCATGTGTGTTTAAGTTACATTCATTCACTGACATTTCTGACCTCTTTAACCTGACTCCATTATGGTTGCATCTTTAAAAAAAAATCTCTAATCCTTCAAGTCTAGGTCCCTACATCAGCTGTCCAAAGAGTTCCCCTATTGCTCTCTACCCCGCAGTTGAACTATGGAATTTGGTGATCTTAGCATTGTGGAGAGAGGGAATCTCTTATGCTAGTATCTTCAGCAGAGGTGAAAGATTGTGCAGACTGCCAAAACTGGATGTTGGTTTGAATTTACTGTGTTTTGGAAGTTTGTCACATAGATGGCTTTGCTCTGGTGGTGGCTGATGATGAAGAGCCCAACTTAGAGTTATTATATGGAATTCTAGTCCATTCCAAAGAAGCATCAGTAATTACCAGGCTTGCTGACAGAGGACCAGGGGAGAAGGAACCCCTGGATGTGATATGGTTCCAGTAATCACAGATTTTTCTTCCTCCCGGCAGCCCCCAGTCCCCAGCCAGACCTCTTCATACTCCTGCATGCTACCCACCAGCCCTTCGGTAAACGGGCGGAGTTATGATACCTACACCCCTCCGCACATGCAAACACACATGAACAGTCAGCCCATGGGCACCTCGGGGACCACTTCAACAGGTGAGCTTTCTGTAGCTGTGAAGAGGGGTCTACTGGGCCTCTTTGGCCAGCTGATCACCTGTACTGTTGACTTGAGAAGAAACTTTTGGCCTTGCATTTTTTTAAGAGCATGTTGAATGACTATTCTTGTTCTGGAGAAAACTGACTGAAAAGGGAAATTCAGTTATGTTAGTGAGTTGACAGTATATAGACAAAAGAGAGATCATCGATGGTATTGAGTTTGATCACAGAAATCATGTGTGAAGACAAGGCCTGAGATCAAATTTCCAGAAGACATCTTAGCCTGAGCTGGACAGTGGACAGGGTTCACTGAGTTTGATGTGGGTGCTTTTTGGAAGACTTATATGTCTTCTAGTTTCTTGATGCCAGCTAAGGAGGTACCACACAAGTCTTTCAGAAACGGTTGTACTGACTAACTTCCAAATGTTGGGGAGCTTGACTTGGGATTTAGGAGGTGAACATAGTTTCTAGTTTCAAAAGGTCTCCTTTTCTTTCTAATGATATAAAGTGTAAAAGGAGTATTATGAAATATCCGGAGTTTTAGAAGGTCTGTGTATTCATGCTGTGTGCCAACTTTAGAGTTTACCCTTGTGGTTGTTTTTTATTTATTTATTTATTTACAGGACTCATTTCCCCTGGAGTGTCAGTTCCTGTCCAAGTTCCTGGAAGTGAACCTGACATGTCTCAGTACTGGCCCCGATTACAGTAAAGAGAGAGCATGATCAAGAGAGAAAATTGTGTTCACTCAGTCAGTGACTATGTGGACACAGCAGTTGGGTGTTCAGGAAAGAAAGAGAAATGGCTGTTAGAAGCACTTCACTTTGCAACTGTGTCCTGTATTGGAGCCCAGGAATGGACTAGAAACAAGGACCTTTGCATACAGAAGGCATGGTGTCAGTTGGAACAAATCTTCATTTTGGTATCCAAACTTTTATTAATTTTGGTGTATTATTTGTAAAGGGGTATTTGTATGTTATAAGGAAGAAAAGAACAACACAGGCTGGTGGACCTTGGATCTGTGTTGGCTCATGTGGTTGTTTAAAGGAAACAACGATTGACAAGATTTGCCATGGAGTTAAGAGTTTTATCAAGATATATCGAATACTTCTACCCATCTGTTCATAGTTTATGGACTGATGTTCCAAGTTTGTATCATTCCTTTGCATATAATTAAACCTGGAACAACACACACTAGATATATGTAAGAAATATCTGTTGGTTTTCCAAAGGTTGTTAACAGATGAAGTTTATGTGCAAAAAAGGGTAAGATATAAATTCAAGGAGAAGTTGATAGCTAAAAGGTAGAGTGTGTCTTCGATATAATCCAATTTGTTTTATGTCAAAATGTAAGTATTTGTCTTCCCTAGAAATCCTCAGAATGATTTCTATAATAAAGTTAATTTCATTTATATTTGACAAGAATACTCTATAGATGTTTTATACACATTTTCATGCAATCATTTGTTTCTTTCTTGGCCAGCAAAAGTTAATTGTTCTTAGATATAGCTGTATTACTGTTCACAGTCCAATCATTTTGTGCATCTAGAATTCATTCCTAATCAATTAAAAGTGCTTGCAAGAGTTTTAAACCTAAGTGTTTTGCAGTTGTTCACGAATACATATCAAAATTAACCATTGTTGATTGTAAAAATCATGCCAAAGCCTTTGTATTTTCTTTATTACACTATTTTCTTTTTAACCTTATAGTGTGGTGTTACAAATTTTGTTTCCACATTAGGTTAGCATCCTAAATCAATGGTTAGATTCACACACACTCCATTTTCCAACCTGATGGCCCTCAAGGAGATAAGTTTTTTTTTTTTAAAGATATCAGAAGTTGGCAATATATCAGGAAAAAAACCACATCTGTGTGGATCTGCATCCCACATGTATAGAAAATGACAACACTTCCAGTTTATCCATTTATTTCATTTAAAAGTTCAAAGTGTAGAAATAATTTAAAAAATGCAATGCAACAAGAGACTCACTAGGAATTGTGTTTTGAATTGAAGCTGGCATTTTCAAACTGGGCAGGCAATCTCCACTATAATTTCAAGGAAGTATATTCAAAGGTTGAGTTCTTAACCAAGACTTTGAAAGCTGTCTCCTCTCTCAGATAACCCCTCTCCCTGTCCTGTCTCCCTCCCCTTTGCACAAGAGGCATCATTTCCCATTGAGCCCCTACAGCTGTTCCCATTTGAGTCTTGCTTTCTGTGCCGTTGTGGATGGTTGGAGGGTGGAGGGGGAATGTTGCATGTCAAGGAATAATGAGCACAGACACACCAACAGACAACAACAAAGCAGACTGTGACTGGCCGGTGGGAGTTAAAGGCCTTCAGTCATTGGCAGCTTAAGCCAAACATCCCCAAATCTATGAAGCAGGGCCCATTGTTGGTCAGTTGTTATTTGCAAAGAAGCACAGATCTGATCATGTTTAAAGTGGCAGCACGCAGGGCAGGAGTGCCTGAGCCCAAGCAGTGGATGGAGAAAAGAAATAAGCCTTTGTTGGTTAGAAAAAGGCCTGCCTGACTGTGATTTTCTGTTTGTTCTGTGCAACAACACTTAAGTCAAAGTAGACATATTTTCTTCAGTGAACTTCAGTGAAAAAAAAAATGTGTGTGTGTGTGGGGGGCGGACTGCTGACCATCTGGATTAAAAATATTTAAACATGGAGAAACATCTGGGGAAAAAAGACACCTCCTCACACTCAAATTCTGATTTTTTTTTTCTTTTTAAATTCCCAACGGCAAATGATAAAAAATAAATGATTTGATGATTTCAACATAACCCTGCAGTTCTGCATCTCCCATTTAGTAGCTAAGGTATTACTCATGCACAGATCACTTAGACCTGTGAGTTTTATTTTAGGGGAGTTGCTTTATGCCCTTCTAACTGGATTGCTGTTTTTTGTGTGTTTGCGTGTAGTCACTGTCCATGTCTGCCTGCACTGTCTGCTGGCACAATCGCCCTTGCAGACATTTCTACCCCCTGACATTTTGCAGCTTCCACTCCCTGAGGGATGTGTGTTGTGGGAATTGTCAGAGAAGGGCTGTGTTGCAGTCACTGTTGGCCCATGGCTCTGCCCAGGAGAGCACGAAGACTACACAGAACAGCACAGGGAATTCTGGGAGTAAGCTCTGGGAGTGACCTGTGAACTGAGGGTCTGGATGTGTGCAGCTGGGCACGTAAACAAGTCCTCAGAGGGTCAAGACTGCCAGGGCGCAGTGGCACAGCCTGGTATATGCTGAAGGAGGGATGCTCTGCCTTGGAAGCCTCTGGGCCAGCAGATGAGGACAGCAGCTTTGCCTTCTGCCTGGGTGTACCCTAGAGAGATGAGCTGTCTGTATCCCAGGCTGTGTGGTCCCAGTACCCAAGAATTGGCTTTTGACTCCCAGTAATCATTTTCATTTGTTTATTTACTGACAGGTGTATTTATAAACTTGGCAATGGAAAATCTGCAGGGGTGTTTTAGTGCCATTTTTCCAGAATGAAGACCAAGTTTTGTGACATCCTTGGTGCAAACAGCTTACATTTTATCTCAAGGTTTTCCTGCCTTAGGGACATCAGGTGAACGGAATCAGAGTTGAATCACTCCAGACCAGTGGTTCTCAACCTTCCTAAAGCTTCTATCATTGACTTCTGGAAAACAGTTTCTCATGTTGTGGTGACTTGCACCCCCACCCTGCTATAATTTTGTTATGGCTGTTGCTACCTCGTAACTGTAATTTTGCTATTATTATGAATTGTAATATAAATATCTGATATGCAGGAATGACCCCTATGAAAGGGTCTTTCAACCCCCCAAAGTAGTCTCGACTCACATTTTGAGAACTGCTACTCTAGGTGAAAGTAACTTCGCTTTGTACTTTGATGAAATTCCAAGGATTTCCCCTCCCCAAAACTGTACCTTCCAACAACTCTTACATGGCAGTGAACAACTGGCTTCTCAACACTGCTTACATTATACCCTTCTCCTGCTTAAATGAAACATCATCACAAATAGGTTTCCTAAAACTTACATCTATAGAGTTAACTATTAACTTTGTTCTGTGAGTGTTTGCTGTCACAGGATGGCACTGATCATCTCTATTCATGTCTTTGTGCTCTGGGCTTCATGCTCTCAAGAAAAAGTATTTTTGTTTGTTTGTTTGTTTGTGTGTGTTTCGGGGCGGGGTTGTGTGTTTCTATATATTGAGTTGATTGATGCCAAATACACATTATTCTGTCTTTCAGTATTTTTTTTTTTTTTTTTTTGGGCTTTGGCCATAGATAACTGAATACTCATTTTTCAAGTTCAAAGTATAAATCTTTAGGGTTTATATTGCTTAATTTGGATATAGTTGATGGTGACCATCTTTGGAACATAGTAACATGATGTCTTAGAGATGACATTAATAATGGGCTTAACTGATACGGGTTTCCCCACACACCTTTGTTGTAGGTGTATGTGTATATCCCATTCATTAAAATTAAAAGACAGGGAGTGAATGCTTCTCAAGCGTTTCGTTTGTTCTGGTGCCAGTGCTAGAAGGTCCTGGGTGTAGTGCTAAAGAGTAAGCAAAAAACAAGATAAGGTCTCAGAGCCCTGTACCTGAGCAACCTATAGTAGTCAAAATATTTACCTCATGTTAAAGAAAGGCAGATCACAAGGAATGAATACCACAAAGGGCTTTGGGGCTCATGCACTGGAAACATTGAAAAGATATAGGGATATTACAGATACTCTATTTGACAGTGCTCTTAAGTGTTTATATTCCAGACTAGTTAAAAATCTATGAATAGAGTATTCATTTCATAATACATAAGGACATACATATATATAGTAGCATGTAATAAACATATATATGTATATATTATGTTAGCATTTTGAAAAATCAATATTTTCATGTTGAAAGTTGTTGGGGTAATAGAGAACAAATAATTTCCAGATGAAGGAAAACATATTTTTAGAATGGATTTCTATCACAGTAAAACAAAACAAAATAGCACCAATACATCTGTTTCCAATAGCAGCTTCTTCTTATTTATAATTATTATTACTGTTATTATTATTATTAAAATATGCTGAAGGAATCTGAAGAACGAAGTGGTGTATTTTTGTTAAGTGCAGGTACTCTATTTAAGAGTTTGAAAAGTTTTAATTTCTTTTTTAAACTAAGGGTTCATATAAGCTTTCTCAATTTCTAGGGAAGTTTTCTTTTTGTAAAGCGCATACCTACTAGTAGTAGCCAAGAAGCAAACCAATGAACTATTAAGTATTGTATAAGTAATTTATATACCTGATGTTTTCACACTTCCTTTCCCAGCCAAATGACATATAATTGTGCTGTTGTGTACTTCTATAAAATTAATCACAACAGGGTAAGAGAAAGGTTAGTTATTAAGACAATCAAACATTCACTTCAGTTTATTCACAATCTGTTAGAGGACAGCAAGGCTTCTGTGGATACCTGTGCAATGTGATTTATTATCTATGGAGGAAATGAATTTTTGAAGTTGTTTTAAATCTTAAAAGCCCCTCTCCTCACTTTAAGAGACCTTTAATTTTAACTGACAGATCCATTCTGAAACTTTATTTTGAAAAGAAAATGGGGAAGAATTTGTGTCTTTAGAATTAAAAGGGCTGAAAAAAAAAATAAACCAGACATTCTAAAAAAAAAAAAAAAAAAAAAAAAAAGAATCAACGTGATTTTTTTTTTTTTTTTTTAGTGCTAATGAAGTCGTGGTGACAAAATAGTTGTCTTTTTGATTTTATCACAAAAACTAAACTGGTAGTGACAGGGTATGATGGAGAGATTTGACATCCTGGCAAATCACTGTCATTGATTCAATTATTCTAATTCTGAATAAGAGCTGTATACAGTGTGTGTTTATGCTACAGTGGGCTTTTTTTTTTTTTTAAGTGACTGACATTCATCATATTGGTTAGACAGTTTTAAAAACCCAGTCTTTGTTTTCCACAATGTTGTCAAGAGCAAATAGAGTATAATTTGTGGTATATTAAAAGGAAACTGCTTAAAATGTTAGTTAAAGGTGCTTCAAAATATTCTAATTTATTTGAAAATGTATTTTGGAAATTCAATTTCTGCCAATAGATGTTAAACATCTTTTCAAAAAAATGGAGTCTTTAAATACATGTAAGTTGCTTTCTAACTTTTACTTTGTACCTATGTTTTGTTAAATCCTTCAAGAATATGGACCTATGACACCAAGCCTTAATGTTTTGCATGAAAACTTGATCCATATGCTATGTTCCCAAGACATGGTATATGGTTAGAGATTCATTAACATGCTCAGCCAATGCTCATAGTTAACAAAGGGTTTAGGTGACACAATGGAAATCTGAGTTCATTTCAGTTTTACACTTTGTCTTAGACCCACATCACACAACCTGCTCACCGGGCTTCAGTACCCATCTCTGGAACCATAGCATTGTTGTAGCTGCCAGCTTGAATTTCAACCTTGAATGTTGTTTGCTGACATAATTTCCCAGCACCGATGTCAATTGCTTAGAACTTTAGGACAGCAGTCCACAGCTGCTTTTGTACAGTCCATTAAGCTCTATAGCACTATTGTGTGGGACAATTAAGACAAAATCCCCCAAATATGATTTTTGTCTTTACCATTTTAAACAACAAGACACACAGATACAAATCCTTTTATATACTAGTTAACAAAACATTTTTTAACAAAAGCCTTGGCAGTTTTTGGTGACCTTTTCAGAAACACAGAGTAATGTATCACATTCAACTTGAACTATATTGTACGCCATGCAACATGCATGTTACCATCACAGAATGTCACCATCATCCCATTGATACAGTCTACATAAACCAAGACCACTCTTAGACAATCATGTTTTTGGAGAGTTTTTTTGGTGTTTATTTTAGAGTTACTTAGTATTTTAAAACACACACAACAGCAGCTAAATGTCAAATGATGGTATTTTATTATTTTTGTACAAAAGTTGGAGGAAAAAAACAAACAATGAAACAAACTAAACTGAAGAATGATGGCTCCATTTTGTAATCCTGTGTTTTTCAAAGATTGGAGGGTCAAATCATTAAGAAAAATATTTACATAAGCTATTTGCAGTCATAATTAGGGTGTCAGATAATTCCACATGCAGTTACTAAGGAGGATTCCCTAGAAGTCCAGGTGCTTCCTGCCTCCGGCCATCATGCCACAGCCTGGGCCCAGCAGCTTGGCGGATTCTGCCAGATCCTGTTTGCTTGAGCGACTCACTGTGTCTGACAAGTCTGGAGGCAAATGCAGTCGCTGTGGTGCATTGTGAGGGAAGGAAAGAAGACAAAATTAATTTTGCTTTCCCCACACACTTCAGAAGACAATATTATGCTCTGTTGATCAGCATCTAGTCTTGCATATGAAATCTCTGCTAAAACAATTCCTTAGACGGAGCCCATTATCTTCACATCCTATTCTTACTAGATTTTTACAAATTACAGCTACTGTTAGAAACTGGACCAAGATTCTCAGTGGAATGACTTTAGAGCCCAAAACTAAATCTATTAAGATTTTTATTTCATAGGTAGGGATGAAAACACACGCAAATGTACAAACTGAAAAAAAAAAAATCATAAGCTAAGCAATTTTTTTTCTTCTGATTTTTTTTTTTGCCAGGATTCTAAAATGTTTTTTAATCAACTATAGGTTTTCTGGAATGATGGATTTCCACAGATGCTTACTTCTCTTTGTAAGTTGACCTGATGATTCTATTTCATTACTATAATTTTTCTAGGAACTTACATTTTTCACAGAAGTATTGGCATAGTGAGAACAATGCTACGGGGCTACAGTGCTTTTCATATGCACAGGTAAAGCCAGCCACAGCATTGACTACAGCCCTGCCTCAATGCCTAAGGTTGAAGTAGACTTTAGAAAAGTTGCCTTTGAATAGCCAGCTTCCCCCCTTCCCCCCTCAGTCCAAGCTTACTTAAGCAGACCCGCCCCATTGCCCAGTAATGCAGACAGTACTGTTGTTAGGAAGAGATTCTTACAGGTTTTAAAGAACGCTTTTGTTTTAAAAGGAATATACATCAGATGTGGGTGGCATATGCCTTTATCCCAGAATTCAGGAGATTTTTTTTTCCCTCCTAAGATAGGGTTTCTCTGTATTGCTTTGGAGCCTGCCTTGGAACTTGTTCTGTAGACCAGGCTGGCCTCCAAAGAGATCCACCTGCCTCTGCCTCCTAAGTGCTGGGATTAAAGGCGTGTACCACCAACACCCAGCTTGCAGGCAGATCTTTGAGTTCCAGATCAGCCTGGTCTATAGAGCTAGTTCAGACCAACCAGGGCTACACAGAGAAATCCTGTCTCACATATCCATCCCTGCAAAAAAGAGAGAAAGGAGCATAGCATTGTTTTAATTATCAGTTCTCTCTCTCTCTCTCTCTCTCTCTCTCTCTCTCTCTCTCTCTCTCTCTCACACACACACACACACACACACACAGTTTAGTTGGGAGGTACAGATAGGTGGATGGATCTCTGTTGTGAATTTGAGGCCAACCTGATCTGCAAAATGAATTTCAAGCCAGCCAGAGACACCATCAAACAAAACAAAAAACAAAACAAAAAAATTCAAATTAAAGGAAAAAGGAGTCGACTTTCTAGATTAGTAAATTCCACACCAACAAGCATGGCTGAAAAATAATGATCTGTATTGAGCACGTAGACTATCATTACTCTTTATTTAACATAATAAACCATCTATCCACATGGCATTTTCATTGTATTAGGTATTACCATTATCTACAGATCATTTAAAGTCTATAGGACGATATGTATAGTAACAGGCAAAGAATATGACCTTGTATAGAAGGGACTTTGGCATTCATAGATATTAGAATCTGCAGGGGTTTTTAGAACCACTTCTCCAGGGTGACAAAGGATGATTCTCTCTGTTGTTCAAAGGACAAGACAGGAGGGCAGGGTCACAGGCAAGACAGGATAGGGTAGTGTTCTCTCATAGGCAACCTGGCTGGGACCTTCATTTGGAAAACTCTCTCCAGTGGGGGAATAAGGCTAGGACTATTTTTGTCAAAATGTTTGCCCACCTTATGTTCCTGCTAGATGCTTTCCTGATGAAAGGCTTTCTTATTGACATGTAAACACAAGCAGTGTGTAATAATCAAAATATTTAAAGACATTTAAGATAGTTTATGAGAAGGTTCTTCTTTGATTTCTTTGTCTCAAATACAAATGCATTACATATGAAGCAACACTGTTGCACAGATGCGTGGTCAGCAAAGACATCAAGTGGGTGAAGGAGATCAGAAAAACGTGGGACACTCACACACAGCTGTCCATTTCATCCTCAGCACCCAGCCTGTCGCTTATTAAGTAACTGCTTGTTTCTTGAATCTCAGATGAGACCTATTTGTTCCTAAATAATTTCTTCAGTTCTTTGTACTACAGTTTGTTCCATAGAAGATTTCAAGCAGACATGAGAGCAGGATAGGCTCAGTGGCCTAGAAGGAAGCATGGCTCCCGAGTCTGAGGCTACAGGCATCACTGCAGTGCTAACATAGTCACTGAACACAGAAGCAGCAGGAAGGAAAAAGATCTTTAGTCATATCTGTGTTTCACTTCAAGGGTTGTTGCTGATGAGCCCAAAGGAAAATGAGCAGCACATATGCATGGCTGGAGTTATCTAAAACATACAGAAAGTTACAGTGTGTGTGTGTGTGTGTGTGTGTGTGTGTGTGTGTGTGTGTGTGTGTGAGAGAGAGAGAGAGAGAGAGAGAGAGAGACAGAGACAGAGACAGAGACAGAGGCAGGGAGACAGAAACAGAGATACTGGAATCTACCAAATGGTATGAGTAGCTTTATGGAGCCAAGTTGACAAACAGAATCTAGAAAGCATTCTGAAGCGAGCATAGCACCTTCCACACACCTGATTTCCTATTACCAACTGACATGAGCAAGGGGAGTGCACAAACTACCCTCACAGTGAACTCTCCAGGCAGAGGAGAAAGCTTTGCAGAGATGGGACTCCAGTGGGCTCTTAAGTGATGGCCTCGGTTCTGACAAGGAGAATAGCAGGAGCAGTTAATATAAGGCAGAGTGTATTTGAAGGCTCAACCTACATGGATAATCTGAACAGGAAGGCAAGTGCAGTTTATCCAGGACTAGCAAAATAAAACATATTTATAGCTCAGCCATTTGCTGAGCACTTCTCTCTCCCTTCTTTACCTAGGCACTGAGTGAGCCAATTGGTTGACTTCCCATCATTAGAGAAAAAAGTGATATGTGACCTGCTTGGAAATCTTTTGGGTTGAATAGCTTTGAAGAAAAGTCACATAGTATTCATGTGCTACTTCTGATCATAAAAATTTGGGGTGATATGAAAAATTATTCCTAGTCAAATGCTTTACTGTAAAGCTGGTTATATATTCTTGTCCTCTGAAAAAGCCTGAAGAGGGCTGGGAAATCAGTGTCTCTGTGTGGTTTTGCTTGCTTTTGTTGATTTCTTGAATGCGGTCACCATGCAATGTAAACTCTTGAGCAGAATGTTTTGTTCTTTCTTTCCAAGCCTCCCCCGTGCACCACATCAGTGTAATGTGCAGCAGCGAAGACAGGAGCTCAGGTTCCAGCCTTGCCAGGTGTGTCAGGGAGCTCTCCTCTGAGGCTTCTAAAGCCTGCACACACTTGACATGAAAGTGCTCAGGTGCCGCTGCATCCCAGATCTGTCTTCTGAAAAAGCATGGTGACCTTCTGTGTGATAAACCGCAAGGCTGTAGCACAGATAAACTTTTAGATGTTGAGATTTCACTGAATAACAGGTTAAATAAAAATGAATGAGATGGATGTATGAAATGATTCTCAATATTATAATCCCAATCAGGATTCATCTGTCTATTTTTATACCCGAGTAAAGGCCAAAGCAAAAATGGGTCTTTTTAAATTTTTTTTCCATCTGATTTTGTTTCCTCAGATTCGGAGAGGTAAGGACTATGCAGATGAGACAGGGGATGTGTATTTAGTTGGCTGGCAGCCTAGTTTTTGTCTTAGTAGCATGACTGTATGGGTAGAGGTATGGGAAAAATAGGAAGTCGCATGATTCTTACAGGAAATTTGCAGGGATCGATGTGATCAATGGACTCCCTTCTGCTACTACTGTGTGGAAGGAAACAGTGTACTAAAATACTCTGGTAGGTTTGGAGCTTCTGCCAGAGGCATATGCATTCCACAGTAAGCTCTGCTAGAACCAAGCAGCAGAAGTGACTGCTCTGTTGCCCCAGGGCTTTCCAAGGAGGACAGGACTTTGAAGTTCTTCCCCAGGCCTACCTCTCCATTTTGCTGGGTTAAGCCACTATCTGTCCCTTGTGGGTCAGCACAAACTGATCCCATAGACACACAGAGTGGGATTTCCTATCTTAATGGTTCCCTTAGTAATTCTTTTTCTCCCTAACTGCCAGACCTGTGCTTAGCACCCACAGACCCCAAACAGAAGGGTCAAAATAAGCAATGGAGATTTTACCTGCATTTGAGGCAAACAAAGTAAATACTCATTAAAGTAAGGCGAATCAATTAATATTTTTCATACTTTGCCAAAAGAAAATCACCAGACACTATTTACTTTCTAAAAACAAAGGACAGATTGCATTTTAACCCTTAGCAGTTGGATAGTGATTCACCTACATTTTCTACAACTGCCCCATATTCCCTGGAAAGCCAGTTTGTATTGCTCAGAACCATGGAACATCTTTCAGAACAGTTTCCAATACATTTTCATTTTCTTTTAAGCATAACAGATCGAGTGAAAACTAGTTCATACCTCTGTTGGCTCCCTAACCAAAGATCTGTCACTCCGCCCCAGTGTTCAGGGCCCTGCCAGGGACAAAGCAGAAGTCATGGTGCAAGAGCACTGGTCACGGGGTGCAGTGATAGTGTGACCCCTGTACTGGGCTTGGGACTGGGCATGGGTGCAGTGATGGGGGTGCAGTGATGGTGTGACTCCTGCACCGGGCATGGGGTGCAGTGATAGTGTGACCCCTGCGTCGGGCATGGGGGTGGGTCCCTGCACTTGTCCTTCACTTTCAGGGTGACCTTTCATAAGCCAATTTTGTGTCGACGCCTCAGTGTGCTCATTCTTATGAAGGCACAACTGTCCCCTCACAAGACTGCCAGTGAGATCAAGTGACATGTATAGATACTTGTAAACTATCAAGTACTATGCTAACATATTTAAACCTCTTTGGCTTAAAACATAGATTTCAGGGGGCTCAGGAAAATATATGTAATGTAATATAAAAACC